CATGAAAGAAACTGATAATATTCTGGCCGATCCACTTTCCAGAGTCGAATCTATCGTTTGCCTTTCTCCCATAAATTACAAATTAATTGCTGATGCGCAAAAGACCGACCCAAGCCTCCAATCACTTTTGGGAAATAGTTCGACCGGACTACAGCTAAAAAAAACTAATATTACCGGAAAATCAAGTAGAACTTTACTGTGACGTATCCACCGGTAAAATTCGCCCTGTTATCCCCGAGACGCAAAGGCAATCAGTTTTCCATGCCATACATGACCTTTCGCACTCAGGCAGTAAAGCCACAGTGAAGCTAATAACCGATCGGTTCGTATGGCCGGGCATGGAGGCTGACTGTCGCAAGTGGACAACTATGTGCATTTCCTGCCAACGTGTCAAAATTACTAGACATACTAGAAACAGTGAAGTAGCGTGGGTGTCAGCCGCCCGGGGTGGAGGAAAAATTCGCTCCCCTTATTTAGGTATCTCAATTTAAAAGACTAAAATTCAGTTTCGTCACAGAATAAGTAATGAAAAATTCCGTGCTAGTGTTGCCACCTTATTAAAATCGCTGACCCGGACGGCAGGTGAGGTTTGTTCGAATAGAAGTTCCTGAGGCATCGTATGTCATTTTGCAATGCGAAGAATAGTGTGCAGTGCATGCTGGTTCTAAATCAGTTACAGTTAGCAACTAGGGAGACTTGGATAGGAGTAACGCAAGTGACCTAGCTGTATTGGATATTGGAGGTGTATATGTATACGAATAAATCGTACAAGAAATAAAAAAGAAGTCAACTGGTTGCGCACGATATTCCCGGACGGCAAGTCGATTCCCGGACTATCCGGATGGATGGTAACAGTATTCCGTGCTCATTTCAATCGGTCCGAGTTGTAGGTGGACGAAAATATGAAATAAAATGGTTCAAATTTTTACAAGATATTATTATTATTTATTGTGAAATTTTGCCGCCCCCTATGCTAAGTACCGCCCGGGGCGAGCCGCTCCTGTCGCCCCCACTACGCTACGCTACTGACTAGAAGTCCAATTACAAGCATCCCCGTGGAAAACAAACGTTTCTATCACATCCACATCGACCTTATTGGTCCGCTCCCTTTTTCCGGAAATCATTGCTATTGCCTCACTATCCGTACGTTTCTATATTCAACGGTTGACTCAACAGTGAATTTTCTGTTGAGTCCCTCCGTTGAACGATCTGACGTCACGTTTTGCANTAATGAAAAATTCCGTGCTAGTGTTGCCACCTTATTAAAATCGCTGACCCGGACGGCAGGTGAGGTTTGTTCGAATAGAAGTTCCTGAGGCATGCGTATGTCATTTTGCAATGCGAAGAATAGTGTGCAGTGCATGCTGGTTCTAAATCAGTTACAGTTAGCAACTAGGGAGACTTGGATAGGAGTAACGCAAGTGACCTAGCTGTATTGGATATTGGAGGTGTATATGTATACGAATAAATCGTACAAGAAATAAAAAAGAAGTCAACTGGTTGCGCACGATATTCCCGGACGGCAAGTCGATTCCCGGACTATCCGGATGGATGGTAACAGTATTCCGTGCTCATTTCAATCGGTCCGAGTTGTAGGTGGACGAAAATATGAAATAAAATGGTTCAAATTTTTACAAGATATTATTATTATTTATTGTGAAATTTTGCCGCCCCCTATGCTAAGTACCGCCCGGGGCGAGCCGCTCCTGTCGCCCCCATTACGCTACACTACTGACTAGAAGTCCAATTACAAGCATCCCCGTGGAAAACAAACGTTTCTATCACATCCACATCGACCTTATTGGTCCGCTCCCTTTTTCCGGAAATCATTGCTATTGCCTCACTATCCGTACGTTTCTATATTCAACGGTTGACTCAACAGTGAATTTTCCATTGAGCCCAACCGTTGAACGATCTGACGTCACGTTTTGCAGAAAAAAGAAACGCTTTCGTTGAGAGGTCACTTTTCAAGATGGCTGACTTAAGTAACGAGAAGGTGGCGATTGTGACTGTTTTGCTAAATAATTAAAGTAACTCGCTTAATCATTATTCGAATAAATCCTTTTATTCAAATGAACTCATATCTGTATCATTTTCTTGTGTACTGGGTCTTTCTTTAATAATTTTAATTAATTTCTTGAATATTTATATCATTAGGAAGACTTAGAGGGCCAAATATCGGTCGTAATCAATTTTGGACAAATGAAAAAAATCTTAATATTTCAATATTGACCAAATTATCGAACATAATCGTGCAATCGCATGTTTTATCATATACAGATTGTTCATTAATCTGTTCGCTATTACAGCATCCACAGCAGCGAATGGATAGTTTCTATAAGCGAAATTTACTTTTTCGTGGAAGCCGCCATGTTAGTTTGTTGAATACTCAACGGTCTTTCAGGTCGTTGAGACCGTTGAGCTCAACGGTGAAACAGCGCTGACGTCACTAGTCTCAACGGAGAACTCACCGGTCCATTTAGAAACGTTGTTCTCTCACCGTTGAGTCAACTGTTGAATATAGAAACGTACGGTATGATTGACAGGTATACTCTTTGGGTTGAAGCGGAACCACTGCGGGATATTGAGGCCGACACTGTGGCTAAAGCCTTATAGGCCGCGTTTCTTTATGCAGCGCTCGAGAAGCGCTTTACAGCGAACCCTCTGAAATCCGTTTCTAAATGCAGCGCTGCAATGTAGCGAACCGTTTCTAAACGTTTGCTTCAAAACTTAACACCAACGCCGGCAGCATCGCATGGGGAACCCAAACTTTTTGTTCCCATGCAGTTAAGAAAAACTGTAGCCACGTTTTTCTACCTTACGATGCTGTACGCGCTCCACTGCACCCTCCCTACGATGGACCATTCCCCGTGGTGGAGAGGGGGGACAAATTCTTCAAGATTCTAAAAAATAGCAAAGAAGTGGTCGTTTCCATCGACAGACTGAAACCTGCCTTTATGCTCAGGGAGAAAGACTCAATCAGCCCTAAACAGCCTGTGATAGACCAACCCAGCAACACGGTGGCTCGGCATAACCACCAAGCAGAACTCGCATACGAGACGAAGACTTCACGACACGGCCGCAAAATCAAACCCCCAGTGAGATTCATCGACCGCGATCGCTAGGAGGTGGTTACTGCGGCGACCAGTTAGTTCATCACGGACTCGAGCGATGGCGCCACTCCTCTAGTGAGTTCTCAGAGAGTCCCGTACTCAAAAATGGGGACGAGAGTTTTTCCCGCAGGGGATTCTGGGATTGAGTTTCTTTTTGTCGGGTGATTGCTGCCAGAGCACGTGTAGCTGTTAAGTGTACTCGTCCGATTTGTTTGGTGAATAAATATTGTAACTGTTTAAAGTGTAGTCGTGGACCGTACGATATTCTGTTTACCGCATTCCGTTAAGTGTAGTCTTAAGTGATGATTGAAACGGTGGAGGAATGGACGGCCACGTTTCGTTGAACGCACATGCGGCCCTCCATTACCCTCAGTACTGTACTTTCTAGGTTAGTTTTCGACTTGGCCGCGTTTCTTTATGCAGCGCTCGAAAAGCGCTTTACAGCGAACCCTCTGAAACCCGTTTCTAAATGCAGCGCTGCAATGTAGCGAACCGTTTCTAAACGTTTGCTGCAAGAGGTCGCTGCAGCGAAGATAAAGCAGCTTTTACGTCCGCTACACGTGTAAAGCAAAATGGACGCTTGTGTGTATAATACGATATTATGCTGTAAAAATAAAAAAGTCGAAGTGACTGTTGATAAAAATATTATGGAAAGATTAAGAAGGATTAAATTTTATGAAATGACTGAAAGTTATCTAAAGAATAAGAAAATACTATATTTTAAATATACTGTAATTATATATCTTTTATCTCTTTACTTTGTTCACATTTATGGAAAGATAAATGCTCGATTCTTTATATCTCTTTATTTAAATATTGTAGTTCTTTAACTAAAGCACTATTTTCGGCTGTAACTGGAATTAAAGGATAGATTATGAACGTCCATGTTTCGCTCGAGCGGAAAGCGTTTCTAAACTATGATGCAGCGACGTGTAGCGATAGCTGCTCGTGACGTCATTTACGCTGCACTCTCGCTGCATAAAGAAACGCAGCCCTTATGACAAAACCTTGGTAACCTAACCTGTTTCGTAAGTAGGGGAGCACCCGTAAAATATTAACATGAATGTACAAGATAAAAAGCAAATTGCAATATAGTAAAAATACGAGAAATCACTTAATTTTTCACATTTTTCAGCATTTTTTAAATAAAATTTACATAATACTATTATGCGACATTCACTCATTACATCTGGGCGCGTACAGCTTGAAATCATTGTTAAAACCCCATTAAATGATATAAAATCAACAATTTGATAGTAATTTAGAAACTACGAAATTAAATGGGTACTACATGAGTAACTGTTGACTGTCCTAATTAAGTTATCACCTAAATCAGCGGTTCCCAATTTTTTTGACTTACATATCTCCGGTTGGGAATCGCTGATCTAAACAATCAACAATTGTTTGCATTTTCTTAGTTGTTTATATGATATAATTTAAATGATATAATTATTAATCACATATGATAATTCATATTATTTAGATATATATTAGCACATTATTTTTATATTTTAAGATGTTAAACGATAATAATCAGCATAAATTTCTGTATTAACATAAAATTACTGTATTTAATTTGTACTGTTAACGGCAGATGGCGACTCTGTCTACCGTTTGATGACAAATTCTTTTAATCATTTCATTTTTCGTATTAGAATAAAAATAGTCAGAAAATTTCGACAAATTGGAGTGGTTGTTATGAACGTATTAACATATACTTTTTACATTAAAGAAATAAAAATAAATAAATTTATAAAATGTAAAATAATAATAAAATAATAAATTTATAAAATGTAAAATAATAATAAAATAACAAATTTAATAAACGTAAAATGTTTCTCTTTTAACAATAATATCTTTGCAATTATTCTCACAAAGACTTTACGATTGACGATTAAAAGTTCAGGAATTCGCAAACGACGTATCATAATGAAAAATAAATTTTCGCGATTTAATGAAAATCTTTCACGAAACATGCGACATTATGCGACGGATTTCACAAATTTAATTACATTTATTTGCCGTGCATTAGAGATTTTAATCATGCAAATGACAGGCCAAGAAAAATTATTCGACGGATCTAATTAGGCGATAATTGTATTTTGAAGATTGGCGAAGCGTCAGATTTTAATGACTGATTCGTGATAAAAAGCGAAATCGATTTCATCGCTTCCACTTTAATGATTTATGACGAAACTATTTACTTTGGTTATAACAGAAAAAAACTCGTTCAAAATGTACTCGTTTCTATTCTGTGTTTTGCTCGGATAATTTCCACTGTTAATTTTCGCTCGATGAGTTAAAAAAGTAGTTAAATTAGTAATAAAAAAATATTTTTGAACCTTCTGAATATTAGATCTATCCTTAAGAAAACCTTAAGATTCAAGAGTGAGTACTTAATATTTTTTTACTCTTTTCATCCTCTAATCATTAAGAAAACCTTTTTTCTAGCTTATCATGGGTTCGGCCAAGTCCACAATGAAAAGAGGATGGTTGATAAAGAAAGAGACCCCATATATTTGGGACTGACGACCCAAGAAATATTCCTAGTGTTCTTCGTCCGAATTCGGGCAGATTTTTATCTCGTCCACCCGACCGTCTTAAAGGACTCAAGATTATGCCTTCTGTTTTTGAATATGTACCCGTGCAAGAATCTAAAATTGTTAAGTAAGCGTAAATATTCATACCAGTCTGTGGCCTAATAGTAATTAATTAACATAATAATAAAAATAATTAGAAGTATTCGTTAAGCATTAAGTTATAATATCTATCTAATTCATAACGATTCGAAAATCCTTGATGTTTATATGATTACTAGCAATATGTGAAATTATATGCGAAAAATTAGGCCTATTAATATTTATTAATATATTATTAACCCTTCAGTTATCTTTATTAAAATGTAGACAAATTATAGCCAAATTCGCTCTCGGACCTTACGATATTCTGTTTACCGCATTCCGTTTTTTTTAATAAAAATTTTTCCTTTTACTTATGATCCTCTTCGAAAAGAACAATTAAAATAAAATAAATTGCAAAAAATAAAAAAATAATAGTAGCCATAACCGTAACAAGTAACGACAAAAGAAGCAAAACAGCACAATGAACAAATGTAAACGCTCTAAATATCGTGCTTCTTCATGTATTAATAATAGTAACGATAAAATTAATGATCTTGAAATAGAAGAAGCACTAGCTTATTGGAGAGAAACCATTTTGAATAGATAGTCAAAAATAAAAAAAAGGCAATTAAATTTAAACAGCCATTTATACAAAACAAATGTGAAGAAGAACTCTCATTTTATTTTCTATCAGGTAATTGAAGACAGAAAAACTAGTTGGAAGTTAGTGTTAATAATTTTATCGAATAAAAAAAAGTGAAAAATTTTTTTTGAGCTGTTCATTGTTCACAGTTCATAAAAAAAAATTATTATTTTTAATGTAGATTATTTTCATAATATCACTCTCAAAAAATTTTACATTATATATAAAATTAAAAATAAAATATACTGTATATATATATTCTATTTTTAATAGAAAATAACAAAAATAACTTTCAGTGAAATAACTGTCTTTGTAATTATCACATATTCCTTTGAAATTAAGACACATATTTTGACTAAACTTCTATAGCCAAGAATATTTTGAAAATGAATGATACTCTCTGCTGAGTACGGATTAAGTTATTTACAATTATTACATTTTAAATAATTTTTGTATATTTTCAAACTTATTTAAAATATGATTCAAATGTTTGATGCATATTTGTATATTTTTAAAAAACAGATTTATAATTAAAAAATGTCAAAAATACAAATAAAAATATTTTTAAGTTTTCACCTTGGGTGTAGTGATAAGTCTCATATTAAATGATTCTTTAACGAGAGATCTCAAACATTTAATGTTTGATGTTTAAAAATAATAATAAATTATTTGACAGGTTACTTTCTTTTGGAAACATCGATATAAATTTCATATTAACTGAAAAGCTAAAAGTATAATAAACATTAAAATCGTCATTTTTATAATGTAAGGAGTAATATAATAAAGTATAAAACATTCTAAAAATATTTGTAAAATTCTCATTTTTACAATACAAGGAAAAATCAGATATTAAATTTCATTATAGAATATTGTGAAACAGTCCGAATAAATTTACTAACAATTTAAAATTTAAAGCATTACTAAGAGATTGTGGTTTATTCATTGTATTGAACTTTCAAACGAAAATGTCTTAAATAGTTAATGATATATTATTACACTTACTCTTCCAATATTACAAAATTTAAATAATTCAGCATAATACCGGTTTAAAGGCGTGACAGATGATTTGTCAATGTTTTTAGGTAGACAGGATAAAAAATTAATAAAAATTATATAATGCCTTAAGGGTAGCTACCTGTCTTTACGCTATTTAAATTGCCTAACAGAAAAAATGGCAAATGTATCTATCACGAAACAGTTAAAGGAACTTTAAACTGATAGATAGACTGATTAAAAAATGTCGATCTTATCAATTAAATTAGGCGAACTACTATTATCGATAGTTTCACGTTTAAGAAAATGTTGATAACTGCCATTGAATTTATAAGTGACTTATAAGGGCTTTCGGTTAGTTCGTACAGTACCTATCTTACGCAAAATTTTCCCACATCAATATTCGATGTAGGCCCTATTCACGAATCGAATTTCTAACAAATGGAATAGGCCTACATACTTCAGCTATATTTGTCTTAGTGACTTTTATGACAGTAGTTTGATGTTTTTTACTTTGATTTCTTATGTTAAAATTCTCTAATCTCAGAAAAATTTCAGAGATTGAATTGTGTCGTCTTTAGTTTCTGGAATATCTGCTCATATTATCTCGTATTCCTAATTATTCACGAGTAATCACGAATACGAAACAAACACTTACAGTCAAAAATTCCCTACAAACCGATATAACAAAGATATCGATAACTATGGATGATCTGTGGGCATCTATCGTACTGTACATTATATATAATGTATATATTGTATATTATTTTATATAATGTACGTATATATATTACATATATATAATGATATAATATAGGATATTTCCATAGGATAAAATATATAGGAGATATATAATATGCATACCTAGAAATATCCTTTGATTAACGCAGTTAATTAATCCCTCGATGCTACCGCTTATATCAAAATCGCGTTAATCAAATACAATGGCACCTCGGTACCCGATCGAACAAACAATCATACCCTCGAGAACAAATTTTCGGTTAATAACAAATATTTCAATTTTATCATCAATAAAAAGTTTTCTGTGATAAAAATGAGTAACTAATTTAAAAATAAAATGAAATCTTAGAGCGCTCTTGGAGATTAAGAAAAAGGCAACACGACAACAAAGGGAGGAACGTGTCCCTAGTGTCTCGATGTACTTATTATACAGTACAGGCGCCCCTGCCAATCACTACTCTCCAAACGTTCTGTTTTAAGTATTTATGTATATTACTTCTGAATTATAACGGAAGATAGTTTACTTATTAAGTGAAAAAGCTCATAACTGATATCCAACTTTAAAAAATTCGATATTTTACACTAGTATCAATAAAACATAAAAATAAACAATAAATGAATTTCCGGAGAATGAATCTTCTAAAAATAAACAAAAATACAATACAAAGACAACTAATATGACGACGTTTGAACTATAAATGAACACATAAAAACAGTCATCAAAACAGACTTTAGATAACCAGTTATTTCCGTAAAGCCGTTCACACACCCAAGAATACACTTATCCTATTCTCCAAATATTATTTTATATCCTACGGCTTTTTAAAATTGTTAGAGACAAATGACATCGATGACATTGCCTTAATCTTGTTGAAAGTACAGAACCTGATTTCGGAATTTCCCTGCCGATTGAACATTTTTTATTTCTTAACTCTCAGTAATAATTTCTACATTAATTTATTTTTATCTTTTATCATTGAAATTAAAAAAATAATTAAATTTCGATTGTAATAGTCGCACGCTTTTGATCATCTTATAGTAGAAGACCCGCGATTGTAGCGAGTGAAGCAGATTCTTACAATTAGAGTAAGTTTATAATTTCCCATCAAAGATGGAAATCAGAACCCATCGATAATCGAAGACGGAAAAACATTTGTTTAAAAAGAAAACAGTTAAGCTATTCGTTTAAATTAAGGAGCAGGTTATCAATTTTTCAATTTCATTAGAGAATGTCATGAGTTAGAATCATCAAAGTATTCATTCCGCTTATTAATTGTCATAGCGATTATTTAAAGTCGGTCGATGCGAATGTTTCTCGGAATTGTTTATTAAGCATAGGATTTTCCCTAGGGAAAAAGGCGACCGACCGTCTAAACAAGCGGCAGCAGACCGCGGCAAAAATTTTCTAAGAATATGTTTCAGAATATAGGTACAAGAATTATAACTTACTTTTCGTTTTCTGAAATTTTCTCGACCCCAAAAAAATGTTCATAAATAATAAATAGAATTTACTATGAAAATATGAAATAGAAATGAGTATTCGATAAGAAAATAATAACAGAAAAGTATAAAAACTAGATAGAAGAATAAACTTAAGAGAGACTGAGGATACTGAAATGTTTCGGAGCTTCAAAAAGCACGACGATCACGATTGTCATATTGTATATATCGTGTAAAAATGAAAATGAGTGCCGCAATTGGGAAGTAATTTAGCACAGAAGATCACTTCTCTTAGATAAAGTATTTCTTTTGTATTCGAATATGAATATCGAAATTAATATTGTCACGTTGTCCAAGAAACAGAGCAAAAATTTATTTTATTTTATTTCCATTGTTTTAATAATATAAAAAAGCATTTGTGTTATTAAAATATAATTTGTTTTAATCACTTTCGGCTGTTAATTTTGATCAAAGCATTCCGAAATGTCTACATTAAGCGTATTTATATATTTATTTTCATTTGTCTACGCATAAAATGATTTATTTTCGCTCGAGAATAGAGAAAAAGTCATAAATCTTGCTCCGTAATTAGTAGGAAAAACAACTTTACAAATTTTTGATGTTTAACGAGCCAAAAATAATTTATGAAATCATTCGCGCTGTTTTTCAGTAGTGATCCTCACGGAAACGTGTAATTCAGTGATCAATTATAAGATAATATGACTCACATAATCTTATAATTCGTTCGTGCAAAGAGCAATCTAATCATTTTTCATACGATCAGACAAATATCGAAAAAGTATCGGGTGTCAAAGACGATGACCCACTTTAAATGTAGAATTACTTCTCGATCTGAGCTCCGTACACTTAAGATTGCTCTAGATTTTCGAGTACATCGGCGCTTAAAGGCATATATTGAATGAATGAGTTCTTCAAAACGCAATCATATTTATAAATATTTAAATAATGAGTGTTTACAGCAAAAATTATTCGTATTATACGTAAAACATCGTACTTAAAAATTCGATACTTCGGATATTATATTTGAAATAGAACTATTCGAAGCATACTTAAATTGGAATTAGGATATCTAAATTTTTAGAATATTTAGATTAAATTGAAGATGTTTTAGTGAAAGTTACTTTATTCTATAAAGATATAAAATCTGAAATTAGACAGGAATTCATAGATTTATAATTGCTTTTATATGGCAACTGTAACAAAAAAAC